TAGATGATTTGACCGTCTCACTACGCCTTGAAGTCAAATATAAGAAATTTATAACTAGATCCAAGAGATGCAGTATAGAAGTACAATATGGGTCGTGTTCACTTTTGGGAGCCTTTATTGGTAACCTAAGCTAGACTAAATGTCATGCAATGCAATGAAAGGGGTTTGGGTTTTAAAGATTTGAATGAATGATGACTAAACTAAATGCAATGAAAATAAACCTAAGCTGCTATATTTTTGGCATTGTGGATAAAAGTGATGATAGAATGGAAATGGATGATAGGAAATCTCTTGAAAATGGTTTTAATGGCAATCACAGTTTATTTAAGATATTGGAAGTTTCATAAACTTATTAGGTTTTCTTAATAACATCCTCAATGACTCATTGAGTCCAATGTTTAAATCAATGAACTTCATTAATGAAAACATTGCTAAGCTCTCCTAATGTGTAGAATGAGAATGATTAATGCAATTAGTCTAATATAACCCAAAATCAGCTCCATATCAAGACACAGCCATGCAAGATAAGAGAGAATTAAAACGATTACAAGGGAACATATATACAACCACATATATTGAAGCACAAATTCAATATTAATCAATCCAAACTACATATATAAATCATTAAACAATGATTACAGCAGCAATCCAAATGGTCAACTAAGAATTACAATCCCTAGACCTAAAAAACCATAAAAACATAGCTAAAAGCTACATATTGGAACTGGAATCCCCTTTGAAGCCTATAACTCATACAAATCCCCCATCTTCAAGAGTTGAAGCACCCTAGCTCACCATAGCCTTGCAGACAACCTCAACCAAAGTGGATTCTCTGACCATAGCAACTAAGAGTGGAGGAAAATGGAATGAGATGGAAGAAGGTGTGGAGGTTTGAGGTGGGATGGATGCTGTATGATGGAGTATCTCCCCGAAAATAGGGTTTCCCCTAAGGTAAAGTGGTGGAATGGGTTGGATCTTATCATTAGAGGCTCTATTTTCACATTCTGATCCGGATTTGGGTTTGCTGATATGACGATTTCATCGTGGCGAAAGCATGCCCAAGAGGTGATTCACTTCAGTTTGTGATCTCACTGTGGCAAAACCAATTCTTGGCCGTAGCGAACTTTGCTTGAGATGTCACTAGTGAAAGCTTCATGTTGCGTCACGGCGAATCATTCTCTTCACCGCGGCGAAGTAGAAAGTTGTGTTGCTCTTGATCTTGTGTTATGTAATCCTTTGGTCCTCAATCTTAGCTCTGATTCTTGATTGTCCTGCAATGACAAGAAATAATTGGGAGCATTAATTGTTCTAGAAATCAATTGAATACAATTAATAACTAATTATGACAATTTATGCTAAAAAAGACACTAACTCAAAGCAAGGACTCTTAATCACAATTAAACACAATTATTATCAAAAAGAGCTAAAATCTATAATAAAAACCCTGAAAATGTTATGAATTAATATAAAACAAATGGGTTTGATCAATAAAGCATCAAATATTAGCTAGGCAAATATTTGACGCCTCCATATTGACGATTATAAACCGTTAAGTATGGCATAAAACAACCGTCAAGTATTTATATTTTTGTAATAATGTTTGAACACTTAAAACTCAAAATTACAAATGTGAGGGGTGTTATGTCTCTAATAAAAGGCTTAGCTAGTTGAATACGTGTCTCAATAAAATCATTTAATAGAACCTTTTTAAAATTACTCGGATACCTCGTTAAATAAGCTTGCTTTTGACTTAAAGAAAGAGCATGAGTTTCTGAAAGATAATTTACTCGAATAAATGAAGAAAAATGACCTGAATAAGTTAGGTTTTGAAAACACTCAGTTGATTACTTGAATAACTAGACTCAACAAGCCAGAACCACATTTTTTTTAATACTACTTTGAATAACAGCCTGTAAAACATTTTAACAAATAAATTTTGAAACCATTACGTACTTTTGACTTTTCTTAATAATTTTTCATCATCAAAACATTAATGTTAACATATTTCACTCTAATCCACTTAAACTAGACTCTACCATGATCTTGTAAAATTTCTCATTCTTCGACCACAAATGTGCGAAAATTCATGAATCAAGGGGACTTTCAAATGGTGTAATGTTGGAAAAGGCCAAATGAAATAGATTTGAATGAAAAGAACTTGTACAGCGCACGAAGGGGATGAAAATTTTGATGCCAAGAATAGCAATCCAAAGCATTCCTTAAGCACTAGTCTTGTTTTTCCTCTAACAACCAAAGGAAGGTTTTGTTCACACTCTTTTCTTTTTCTATTTCCATTTTCTTCTTTCTCTTTGATCTTTTTCTTATTGTTGTGTTTTTGGCATCCCAAGATTAAATGGACTCTTAGTGCTAGAGGCATGGGCATGAGTAACCGATATGTAGTAGGTGGCTAGAAGTTTCGAAGAAGAGGAATGCAAAGAGGCTATTTTTTTTTAAAATTTGTCTCAAGACAATTTTGGAAAATTACTAATATAATTGGGTTAAGATACGTACAATACCCCGAAGTATTTTCTCGAATGTGTTCAGCACCCTAAAGCATTTTGTAGTACACTAGCATCCTGAAGTATTTTTCAAGTGTATCCAGCACCCTGAAATTCTTTTTATGCCTTAGTGCTGGATGTACCAAAAAATATTTTTGGATGTTGGATGTATCGAAAAAAATATTTTAAGGTGCTGGATACACAAAAAAATATTTCATGATGCTAAGTGCACTTAAAAAAATATTTCAGGGTACTGGATGTATAACAAAATATTTTAGAGCACTGGATGCACCCGAGAAAATACTTCGGGGTACTAGATACACTTTAACCATAATAATATAAATACATATATCAAATAAAAATATATCATGATTCTGCATAAACATACCAAACAAACTTTTAAACCTCATGTCTACTTTCGTTTTCATTTCTATCTCCCTTTCTATTTCTATTTCCATCTAAAACAACTCAATCATGCCAAATGGGCCCCGATGTGGTCCCGAAAGGATGAAACGAGACATAAAGTCAACACAACATTTAGCTTCACAATATTTCTCTCTTTGATTGTGTTCCTTAGTCAAAGAATATTTGAGTCATTATCACTTTGAATGTTCAATTGCGAATAAATAATGTTGGTGGCTACTCTCGTTGAAAAATTCTATGACAAGATATATTTCATGTGAAGCAAAATTTCTCCTTTGTTTATTTTAGGACCTGTCATAGAAATTGCTCTTTTCCTTGTGTAGACAACGTCTTTATCCTGTTTCTTACTCTGTACGCTAACTCATCTTTTTTATTATAAATCATTTTGTCTTTTATAAAAGAAAATAATGTTGTTGTCTACTTTTCATTAATAAAAAGCTACAGTAGTCATCTTCTAACAGTTTTATTATAAATTACATGAATTTTGTATACGATATTAATATATAAACGCTGCCATTTAAGACTTAAACATAAAATTACATATTATAAATTATATCCCGATTGAGTCAAATTTAATATTTTACAGTACTTAATTAACTAGATAATCTTCATGCCCAAGTGATGAGTAGATAGACAGACACAAATAATATTTTAACTGTTCCTCTTAACGTCTACCATCTTCATTAGCTCAAGGGTGGCACTTTTCTTAATCAGCTTCTTAGGTGGCTTTTTAATACAATGATAATTAACTATTTCAAATGTTGAATATTGACCTTACTCATCGAAAATAAAACACATTCGTCCTCATCATAGCAGTCAAAATTAAGATATTATAGTGCTTATTACTTGATTCACTTGGGAAACTTCATGCTTAAGAAATGAGCAGAAAGACCAAACACAAGAAATGATAATGATTTTTTATTGTCATAATTCTGGTCAGAAATGGAAAATATGTGCGTTTTACGAAAATTAAATACAACTATGTCTCATGAATTTTATAATTTTAATATTTGCAAATTGATCCCTTATTTGCAAGTTAAACTTACAGATTAATGAAGTCAAATTGCATCATTTGCAAGTTAAACTTGTAAATACTAAATCTCTTAGTATTTATTAGTATTAAATGAAATTCAAGAAATCTATTTTCTTTAAATTTTTGGGTTAAATTAGAGGGTATTTCCCCCCTCAAACTATTATTGCAAGTACACATTGGGTACCTAAACAATTAAATAGTTTATTTTTTTATACGTTACTTCCATGTTATGAAATAACAGTATTTCCTTGGGATTTATTTTTTATAGGATATTAAATTTATTTATAATTTGTTAATGCATTTCCATAATTCTTCTCGCAAACTAACGGTGAAAAATAACGATTGCCTTTTTAATTATATTTTAAAGATGATATTGCTCTCCTTGATAATGTAGGATCGCCATTATTATGGAGAAAATAATTTTTTAATGTATTTTCTATAATTCTTCACACAAACTAACAGTGAAAATAACGCCTGTCTTTTTAATCATATTTTAAAAATAATATTGCACTGCTTGATTAGGATAGTCATTATTATGGAGAAAATAATTGAAGGGAAAAAATAGGCTTTAACATTTTTTTTTTCCCGATGAGACCTACGCATAATTTTTTGTCCAGTAAAAATTATTTAACTTCAATGTTTACCCTGTAATTTAAATTTTATTCAAAGGAGCATTTGGCTCTATCACATTGATTTCATCTTCCCTTTTCACACCAACAATCCTCAAGATTGATCTCATGTGTCATGGCTTACAGCACCAAAAAGCGCCATTTCCAATTATATAAATATCCGTTGTGGAATTGTTCACCACGCAACGCGGTGGCCGTAGAAGTGTGATTGAAAATAGAAGTGTCGTGTCACTATCACCTGCAGTTTTCAGTTGCCCTAGCTGTGCCTATATATATGGATATAAATTGTGTAGTGTGATTGCAACTACAGATTCTTAGTTTCTTGCACATTCGAATCAGTCATAATTCTAGTCCTTTCTCTCCTGCGGTATGTTATTCCTTCTTTGTGCATGCTAGTTCATCAAGTTCTATTATATTTCTACTGCGTATATATGTATAAAGTGCACGCAGCACACTTCACATCTGGTTCTGTTTAGTCTCTGTTATCTAATGATTTCCAATATGATGTTGCTGCAGAGAATCAACATGCAACTGGTATCTCTTTCTCAAGCTTATATATTTTTATCAGCAGTACCCTTGCTCTTATCACTGTCTCACGGTTTATGGAAGAAGGAAAGTAATATCATCAAGGAAGGCGTTTTCCTTTCCCCCAAGTTTGACATAGGACCCGGATTAGTTGAAAATAGATATTACTATGATATAGACTTTCCAAGAGGCCATATTGCAATCAAGGATTTTACTGCTGAAGTGATTGATGAAGAAGGCAATGCTGTACCTCTTTATGAAACTTATCTCCATCATTGGATTGTTGTCAGATACTATCGACGTAAAGGGGTGACACACACTGGTAATGAGTCCAATTCAGATCAAGTGACGGTAGCAAACAGTGGATTATGCCCTCCAGAACTTCTTGGACAGTATTTTGGCCTTGGTTCTGAAACACGTGGCACAACTACTGAAATTCCAGAACCTTTTGGGATAGAAGTAGGTAATCCTGCAGAAATGCCAGATGGGTATGAGGAAAAATGGTGGCTTAATGTGCATGCCATTGACACTAGAGGTGTAGAAGATAGGTTGGGGTGCATTGAGTGCCAGTGTGATCTCTATAACATCACAGTGGACTCAAATGGCCAGCCTTTGAGGCCTGATTATTTAGGTGGTTTGCTGTGCTGCTATGATAAAACTCAATGCAGGATGAAGGAAGGCTTTGAGGGACCAAGGAGAAACCTCTACTTGAGATATACAGTTAAATGGGTTGATTGGAGTGATTTAATAGTGCCTGTTCAGATCTATATACTTGATGTGACTGATACTTTACAAGCATCGAATGGTTCAAATTCAAAAGACTTGAAGCATAATTGCGAGGTAAGTAATTATTTAGTTGACAAAGTTCATCAATCGGTCTAAATCGTGGTAATTATTCACATATAGTTTCTTGTATTGTTGGGTATATTTCTTTATTACAGGTTGAGTATCAAGTTGAGTCCTGCAGCAAAAACCAGAAGGATGTTAGTGACTGCATTGATGTTAGGAGGACAAGCCTCCCAATGCCTAGAGGCGGCTATGTCATCTACGGTGTGGCTCATCAACATATTGGAGGAATTTGTTCAACTCTGTATGGACAGGTTATAATCGCTTTCTATTTTTGACTTGTGCAAAAAATGCCTTTTAAACAAGTTAAACTGAACACCGGTTTTATAAGTGATGTAGATAAAATAGAAAGTATTAGCTTTCCACAGTAGTATGTTGTTACATAACTGGTGTAACTCTTCTCAATTCTTTTTGAAAATAACGATCAATCTTGTTGATTTTAGTTGTTACATAGGCTCAAGGTCGGTCAATGGATGCATTTAAAGATTTAAGTAATAAGAATCTTGTTAATTATACAAACCAGACATCCATACTTAGCCTGAATAACTAACATGAGACCAATTATATTAACTTCATCTATAAATGTATCCACGAAAGGGAGCTTCACCAAAATCCTTTTCACTTCCCTGCTCGAATAAAAATGTTTCAAGTTTGCCTTATCTTGAACGTATAACAACAAAAAATTAACAATAAGAATGGTCATTATTCTTTAATAGCCTATGACAATAATGATTTACATACTAGTAGAGTAGCCTATGTGCATGCTTATGAGTGGCAAATAGTTCGAGTGAAATGCACTGCCTAAATCCACTAAGACTGACATATATCAAGTTCACAATGACAATTTGATATATCGTTCTGGTTTTACTTGTTCACTTGTATCATTTGTTAATCATGACCATGCACAAAGGGGGCTCCGCTAGTCTCAGAAGTACTCATTGCCACGGGCTGTTGGTTCCTTTACAGTCCAACAAATTAAAAACAATAATAATAACATAATATAATTAGTCTATATCTATTAGAATACACACACACCTGGACAAAACAACAAACCCCATGTCAATAGATACTCTATTGTGTTTGAGCGTTCATATTTACTATGTGCAAGAAATGGGTGAGTTGTGATCTTTACCAAATGGTAAGGGCGTCCTTTTGTCATGGCAGTACAACTAGCTTGTTTTCTGAAATTAGTGAGATGGTTTCAGGATGGAAGGGTTATATGTTCTTCAATACCAATTTATGGAACTGGAAAGGAGGCAGGGAATGAAGAAGGCTACGTTGTAGGAATGAGCACTTGTTATCCTCAACCTGGTTCCGTCAAGATAATGGATGGTGAAACTGTAACTCTGGAGTCCAACTACAGCAGCAGCCGACCGCATGCTGGAGTTATGGGACTCTTCTACCTCTTGGTTGCAGAACAGCTGCCAAACTAACCCTCAGGACATTCCTGATAGTCAGTTTGTAGTGTTTTAGTTATATAGAGTCCAATCTCTTGCTTATAGATTAAAAATATTACAGTAGTTTATTGGACAATAATACAAGTAAAAGTTGTCTTGATGACAATTTTTACGGCAATGTGATCTTAAAATATAATGCAATATTTTGCAGCACTAGGAGTTTTATTATATTGTTCCATGTAGTTTATATGTGTGTGTGTGTGCGCGCCGACAATAAATGTGCAAGTATAATTCTACATTATGTATTCTTAGCTTCCACCCCTTTTGGTCCTTTATGTTTGGTTTCTTTGATGCATGCTATTGAAGAGTTAAGGGGGAGAGATGACCCCCAAACTTTATGACCAAAAACAACTTTCTTTTAGTAACTGATAGAATTAGTGGACTTTTCAAGATTTTTGAAGAGGAAATGCAATGAATTAATTATTATTTCACTATTGCATATTGTGGAATCATTTTAATGGTGGTGAATGAGCTTTTACTTATGATTAATTTTCATTTACCTTCATTGATATCTTCATGATATAGTATCCACATCTCTATTTATACTATCACTAATCTCTAGCTAACAACGTCTTTTAAAAGAAAATCAGACAGTTGCCATATAATGGGAACCATCTGATCTTCTTATATTCTTCAAGTTTAAGCGATCTAAGAGTTTTGGTTGGAAAGAGTTTGAAAATAATTCCCTAGTCTCTTCAATACTTGAAGCATGCTTTTTGTCACATCCCACTCATTTTAACCCTAGGAGTGTGAATAATGAATTAGACAGAGGGCCAAGTAATAAAGCAAATTCAAAGTCGAAATAACTTTTGAATTGACATTTGACCCTTGACCAGATTGGTATTTTTGAAATTATCAATCCCATAAGGGCAAAATACGAAAACTGGGTAAAAATTTCTGAAAATTCTGAAAAAATTATAGAAAAAATAAATTAGAGTGTTTAGAACTATAAATATGGCCTTGGAGGTGAAAATAACGGGAAAATGATTTATTACATAATTTTCTGTAAATTAGGTTTTTTCCGGTTAAACAGTGAAAAATTGGCTGGAATTAATTATTTAAAATACGTAGAGGCCTCAATAATTCTGGAAAAAATATAAGAAAATTATTTGAAGATTTATTTGAGATTATAAAATCATTTCCAGCCTCTGAAAGTGAAAGGATTAATTTTAGAATAGTTATTGCTGAAATCTTATTGATAAAACCCGATTTCGAAGAAAATTCAATACAGGTATCTAAAGAGTAAAATAAATTTTAGAAAACTTCAGGAGACCTTTCTATATTAAAATAAGATGATTGATTGGCAAAAATGAAATTTTGGAGGTCCAAAAATATTATTGAAAATTAGGCAAGAATTTTAGTCGAGACAGCAAAATCGAATTAAGAAATGTTATTGGATCTGAAAGGTTACATTCCTTCCTTCTTTTTAGCCATTAGACATGATTTTGGACAAGAGAAGTCTAGAAAATTCATGGTCAATGAAGTCCAAGTGATTAGGAAATAAAATAATCCATTTGATCACATGATTAACCAAGGTACTTGAGTACCTAAGGATACTTGGCTTGCTTGAATTTTTTGTAGCTTATGAAGGTGACACATAGACATTTAGCAACAGAATTTTTAGGGACACTTGGAGCTTAAGGAGGCCAAAAATGAGGCCTATATATACCCCCTTCCTAGGCTCTTCAATTTGGTTATTTTGGCAACTTAAAGGGGGGAGGTTTTGCTGCTAAAAAACTGACTTTAAGGGAGGAAGAACACACTGGAAATTACCAAGAACTATCAAGCAAGGATCAAGGCTTAATCAAGGTATATAAGAGCTTCTATTTGACTATATTTTTAGCTAGTTTCAAGTAGAGTTTGGTGGCAAAAATCTTAAGACATCATGCTATCCAAATTTCAAAAATCATGAGGAATGGTTAGGAAAGAATAGAAACCAAGATTAAAGGCTTGAGCTAGCTTGTTTGGTTGTTGTTTTGATTGATTTTGAAAGAAACTCCAAATTCCCTAACTTGGAAAAACCATTCGGCCAAGGCTAGTTCAAGGGGTTAAATATTGTTTTAGATTAATTTGATGGGTTCAATGAGTTTAAAATGTGATTTTGTGTAGGAAAACACTAAGAGAAAGTGTTTGCAAGTATTAGAATCAAAAATGAAATTTTGAACCCTAATGTGTACACTTCTTGGCCTAGGATAATGGACTAGGGAGGAGTTTGATTTTGATACAACCAAGTTGATATTTGAATTTTACGTGAAAAATTGTGTAGGAATGGCCCTAAAGATTAGTCAAAGCAAAAGTGGAATATTGATGTCAAACGTTAACGAAAAGGGATTATGGAGTTGATTTGATAACTAATGGTATTTTGTGTGACATTACTAGTAATATGGAATATATTTGTGTATGAATTGATAAGCATTATCCAAACATATAAAGAGAAGCAAGAAGAAAGGGAGAATGCCAAAAACTTGGATCATTAAAGAGGTAGCAATGAACTGGCAATTTGAATGCTAACTTGCTTTGCTTGTTTTGCTAGGTATTGCTTGATTTTTTTATGCCATGATATGGCAGAGCGAGATGGATGATAATGTATTAACTCCATGCATAATGTGCCTTGGCTTTATGTAATATTGAGTGGTATGCTGGTATGCTTAATTGCTCCCTTTTCATAGCATAAGGACATGCATGTTAGTATGCATGACATTTTGTTAGTGACATATAGTATTCTTGCATTGCATGCTTAGCATGATTATTGTGGTTTTTGCTACTGGGATTTCTATGAGATCTCACTCTTTTTATGTTCAAATAAACAACAATATAGGAGTTGGATCATCCAAGGTATAACATCTTGTAAATTTTGACCCTGAAGATGAGAGAATTAAAATAGACTAAGGGCCAGTTAGTGCAGAGGGGACATAGATCTCACAAGGCTTGAGTTGAAACCTAGGCAGTGTCAAGACTGATATTTTTGAAATGTCAGTTAAAGAAAGATCTGATAGAGAAGTCAGGTTAGAAATTCCAAAAAATTCTTAGAAAATCAGGTCAAATAGAATTAAAGGTCAATGAATAGTGTTTGAGGCCCCAAAAGAATTATTTAAAGGAAAATAAATTAATATATAATTTTCTATATTTTCCTGAATTTTTGGTTACACTGAGAAATAGTAAACAAAATTAATTATTTAAAATATTTAGAAAATGAAAATTTTGGAATAAAACCCCCATGATTCGACCAAAGTAAGTTCAATAAGGAGGAATTCGATTTTTATAAATCTAAGTTGATATTTGGATTCTACATGAAAAATCATGTAGGAATGGCCCAAGGTGATTAAGGAATTAAAGTTAGAACCTAAAAATCAAGTAAAAAGGGATTAAGGACTATTATGATAAATGAAATAATAATATGTGATCCCCTATTGTGTTACCAATAGGCTTGGCATCAAAAGAAAAGGAGATTTGCTAAGGGGAGGAGATTGAAGGCAAGAGGATAAGCATCAAAAGAGGTCATTAGCATTTATTTTTTTAATGTTACCTCACATAATATTTATTGTTATATGTTGTGCTATGTTGCTATCCCATGATGTGGATGAGATTATGATGTTATGTGATGTTTAACTCCATGCATGTAATGTCTTGGCTTATGCAATGTTGAGTGTTATGAATAAGAAGTATGTTATTTCCTTTCCATGGCATGTGAATGAGTTGAAAGCATGTGATAACTAGTTCATGTAGCATATAACACTTTGCTTGAGTGTGACATTGTAAATGTGATGCTAGGCTACTAAAATTCCTATGAATCTTACCCCTCCCATGTTCAATAAATCCTAGGACCTACAACATCAAGAGAAGAGAGCAAGGAGATGACCAATGTATGAAGGAATGCTAGATGTTGTAAAAGTATATATGTTTCGGTCTTCTCTTGACAACTTGGTGAATAATTTGTAAATGCTCTTTTGTATGATGCTTTACTATATTTTGATGCAAATATATGACAAAGTATGTTATTATGCCCAATTATGTGGTTGGATGATGGTATATTGAGCTAAAGTTTAAGTATGAAGAGGCAAAACCAAAAAGGGAATAAAAATCAACATTTTGGCAGACAAACTTTGACCAATGTGATTCTTGTCAAATAATGGATTTTATCCATGAAACTTTTCAGTCTAATGTATCTCATTTTTCTCTTTAAAATGAGTGATAAAACGCCTGAATTTGACATTGGTGCAAGAAGTTATGCCTATCCAAAGTTAGGTAAAAATACTGAAAAATTAGAAAATGACCATATGAATAGTACTTTTTGAAAATGAAAGTGGGCTTGAATTTGAAGATAATTCATCTAGAAAGTATTTTTTTTCTCAAAAGATAGTCCAGAAAGCTTCTAATAGAACTTGGAATCACTTGATTTTAATTTTTCTAGAATTAATTATGATTTTTCAAAATTTGGCCAAAACATGGATCGCTATGAATAGTAACCCGAGAGCAAAATTTTTCAAAGTTAAATTTTTCATACTTTTGGCCATCAAATGTGATTCTATTTGCTTTTAATTGGTTGATTATTTGATAAAAAGTGAAGATGTTACACAAGGAGAAAGGCAAAGAGATCATTTTGGGATGAAGGCTTGTATGCTTGCCTTGTTCATGATTTTATGTAGGTACTTTTGTTAATGCAAGTTTATAATGAAAATGTATGAAGTTTAGATACTTGTATTTGTGACTTTGGTGGGTGTAAAGGATTGATAATATTGTGCTTGGACATGTGAACTGTGAATGGAACAATTATATGATGCCAAGAAAGAGAATGATTAAGAAAAGGCATGAATATGGTATAAAATAACCCTAAGATGGCTCATCTTCATGTCAACGAGATTCTAGCCAAATGAATGAGTTTTGAATTGAAACTTGGCAGACATATAGATTATATTCTTATATTTAAAATAAGGAGTAATTCATCAAAATTAGAGTTTTGAACAAAAAGCAATGTCTATCTAAAGTTAGGTATAAATTCTAAAAAATTAGAAATTTACCAAATGAATAGTATTTTGTTGCATGAATTTTGGCAATGATCGACAAGAGCTTGATACCAGATAACATTTTTCCTCTAAATATCATTATAGGAGCTTTTAGTATAACTTGAAACCACCTCATTTTGATTTTTTTAGATGATTAGTAACATGAATTTAAAGAGTCTTGAAACTTGAGTTTTCCTAACTTGAGGCCTTGAGAAGTGGTTCCAAATGGTTCTATT